CACCCTGATTCAAGAGTTCATTTTGCAAGTTAGTGAGGGGTTAAGTTGTAGTAGGCTCCGAGTAGTGTGTGAAGGCCTTTATGTAGCAGGAGAAATAATCTAGATTTTATCTCACTGGCTTTAGCGAGACACTAAAGATCATTGAGGAAAAAATGATTTGATATTAGCAGTCATTTTACAATCCATTTTGAATGTTTTAATTCTGTTAAGGGATGGGGTGATAGGCAGAATTGCTAAAATGGCCTTTAAAGACTCCTTCCCTAATCACTGAGACCTCTGAATGCGGAGGGACCTCTGAATCATTCTTGTGATTATGTTATGTTATATGGCACAATCAACCTTAAGATAAGGCTGTTATCCAGGTGGGCCTGATCTAATCACATAGGTCCTTAAAAGCAGAGAGTTTTCTCTGGCTGGTATCTGAAGAGGAAGTAAAAGATTTGAAGCATGTGTAGGACTTAATGCACTGTTGCTGGCTTTGAAGATGGAGAGGGCAAAGTGAGAAAACGTGGGTGGTCTTAAGGAACTGAAGGAGAGGTTCCCAACTGGCAGCTAGCAAGGAAATGGTGACCTCAGTGTTATTACTGCAAGGAATTGAATTCTGCTAACAACCTGAATAAGCCCAGAAGGGCTCTTTCCAGAGCTCTCATTACAGCTCAGATGGTCAAAACTTTGACTTTGACCTATGAGAGGCTGAGCAGAGGACTGAACTGGGCCCACCCACACTTCTGACCTACAGAACTGTGAGATAATAAATGGGTATTGTTTTGAGTTGCATAAGTTTGTGGTAATTTGTTATGTGACTGTAAAAGACAATTACAGAAAGATTAGAGGAGGATGGGACAGCAGTCAGGGAGACCAAGTAATTTGTGCATCTCCTCTACACTTGTTCACTTACTAAGAAAAGGTGATGTGTCTTGAAATTCCTGAGTAATAAAGAAGGAATATCTGCATATTTTATTATATTCTCAACACTCATCATACCTCACTGTTCTAGTCAATGATTTAGTAAAAATGCATTAGATTTATGAATAATGGTATGGCAGATTTTATTTTTGTCCAAGGTATTTACTGCCTGTCCCTGTGAGAAAGTTATCTTTCTTTGCTCCATTGACATAAGACTAGCCCTTGTAACTCTTTTGGACAATGAAATATGAACAGAAGTAGCATATACGTCTTTCCAGCAGAAGCTTCAAGACCCATTGCAGGGTTCTGCCAGCCTTTCTTTTCCTTTTGTCATAGACCTGGGTGTCTGGATTGGGCTTCCCTTTCAGTCCAGGTCCTGGAGCAGAGGTGCTGTGAAGCAGAACTGAAGCTAACCTATGATAGACATGAAGGATGAATAAGAAATCAATGTTCATTGCTGTAAGCCAATGAGAATTTTGCATCACTTTTTACCATAGAGTGACTTGCCTAAACTGGCTGATTCTTAGCACACCAGTAGAGACCTGCTATAACAAAAACTGAAAATATGTGGTATTGGCTTTATGGTGAGCAATGGATGGTGAAGAATCTGTTTTTGGAAGCTAGAAAGATGGAGCCCAAGTTATGCTGTGGTGAGCTATTTGATATAAAGTTTGCTACAATAACATGGATGGCAGACAAAAATACCAAATGATCTCATGGCTTTAGTTGGAGATGTGGGAAATAGAATATCAGTAGTGCTTCCTGGTTACTATGGCTGAAATAATAGACCATTAACTGGTTTTCAACCTAGGTTGTAAAATAGAATCAACTATGAATAAAAAATGCTGATTAAAATTCAACATTTTGATAAGGACCTAAGCATGGATATAGCTTTCCCATCCTTTTTTTATTTTATATCTATATCTATGTCTATGTCTATGTCTATGTCTATGTCTATGTCTATGTCTATGCCTATGTCTATGTCTATATCTATATCTGTATCTATGTCTATATCTATGTCCATATCCATGTCTATATCTGTGTCTATTTTTTGGTGAGAACAATTAAGATCTACTCTCTTAGCAAGCTTCAAATATACGATACATTATTGTTAATTATAGTCACCATGCTGTACATTAAATCTCCAGAACTTAATCATCCTTTGTATCTGGCACTTTGTACACTTTAACCAACATCTCTCTCTTTCCCCCACCCCTCAGCCCCTGGTAACCACTATTCTAGTCTCTACTTCTAAGAGTTCAACTTTTTTAGATTTCACATATAAATGAGATCATGCAGTATTTGTCTTTCTGAGTCTGGCTTATTTCACTTAGCATAATGTCCTCCAGGTTCACCTTTGTTGTTGTAAATGACAAAATTTTCTTCTTTTTTAAGGCTGAAATATTATTCCATTGTATGTTGATACCACATTTTCTTTATCATTTATCCATTGATGGACACCTCAACCATTTGTGGTTGATTCCATATCTTGGCTATGGTGAATAATGCAGCAATGAACATGGGGGTGCAGATATCCCTTCGAGATAGTGATTTTGTTTCCTTTGGATAAATACTCAGAAATAGGATTGCCGGATCATGTGATAGTCCTATTTTTAATTTTTTGGGGAACCTCCATACTGTTTTCCATAGTGGCTATACCAGTTTACATTGCCAGCAACAGTGCACATCCTCTCCAATCCTTGTTATCTCTTGTCTTTTTGGTAACAGCCGTTCTAACAGGTGTGAGGTTATATCCCATTGTGGTCTTGATTTGCATTTCTCTGATGAGTAGTGATATTGAGCATCTTTTCATATATCCTTTGGCTATTTGTATGTTTTCTTTTCAGAAATGTTTATTCGGATCTTTTGCCCATTTTTAGATTGAGTTGTTTGTTTTCTTGCTAATGAGTTGTTTGAGTTCCTTGTATATTTTGGATATTAACTCCTTCTTGGAAACATGGTTTACAGTATTTTCTCCTATTCCATAGGTTGTCTCTTCACTCTCTTGATTGTTTCCTCTGTTGTGCAGAAGCTTTTCAGTTTGATGCAATCCCATTTGTCTTTTTTGTGTTTGTTGCCTGTGCTTTTGGTGTTATATTCAAAAAATCATTGCCCAGACCCATGTCAAGAAGCTTTTTCCTTATGTTTTCTTCTAGTAATTTTATAGTTTCAGGTATTATGTTTAAGTCTTTAATCCATTTTGAGTGGATTTTTGCATATGGTGTTAAATAAAGGTCCAATTTCATTTTTCTGCTGAGCAATAGGAGGTCATTTCATTTAAAAAGTCAATTTTCCACTTTTTCTAAGAGCTGATGAAATTGACCTTAGGCATATCTTCTAGCAAAGAATATTTAATGGATGGAACAATCTCTGTGGTATCGAGAACATACATTAGAAGAGATAAAATACTGTTTCAATAGGTCAGGAAGATGGGAAAACTGAGAGAATGAAGCAGCAACTAGGAAGTGGGTGCCTGAGTTTTATTACTATATAGTGCTTTTCATACATTTTTGTGTGAGAGAGATTACTGGTCAACTGCAATTAGCACCCAGGACGGTACTTACCTGAAATTACAGTTCTATTCCTAAACCTTAAACAGAATAATCTCAAAGATCTGCGTGAACTCTTATAAAGCACAAAGACCTTTCATCTTTTCAAAAGATTAAAAAAAATAAAAACCGGGGCCAGCCCGGTGGCGCAAGCGGTTGAGTGCGCGCGCTCCGCTGCGGCGGCCCGGGGTTCGCTGGTTCGGATCCTGGGCGCGCACCAACGCACTGCTTGGCAAGCCATGCTGTGGCGGCGTCCCATATAAAGTGGAGGAAGATGGGCACAGATGTTAGCCCAGGGCCGTCTTTCTCAGCAAAAAAAGAGGAGGATTGGCGGATGTTAGCACAGGGCTGATCTCCTCACACACAAAAAAAATAAATAAAAAAAAATATAAAAACCTTTAGTTTTCTCTCAGGTAAGAAGGTTGCCCTTGCAATAGTGCAATAAACCTGGATTTTGCATAAAATAAGATAAGTTGACCCCCATGCATAAAGTAGCACTTTGGACAGGCACACAGTTGATGGGTTTTTTTGAGGAAACTCAAAACATGCTACATAGCAGATATGTATATGTTATTACCCAGAATTAGCCAAACTGCAAAGTTTGAGGGCACAGTCCACAAGACTGCCCTCACTTTTGACACCAATTGCAAGTTTGAAGGGTTCCCCAAACTACCCTTAGGTTATGTAACTTTTTGGGAGGACTCACAGAATTCACTGAAGTCTATTACATTCATGGTTAAGGTTTATTACAGGGAAAGGATACAGATAAAACTCAGCCAAAGGAAAATGGTACCTATGTGAGGTGATGGATGTGTTAACTAACCTTATTGTGGTAATCATTTTGCAATATATACGTATATCAAATCATCACGTTGTGCCTCTTAAATTTACACAATGTTATATGGCAATTATATCTCAATAAAGGTGGGGGGAAATCAGCGAATGGAAAAGATGGATAGCACAGAGTCAGAGAGGGTTCCAAATGAAGCTTCCATTGTCCTCTCCCATGGAGTTAGGAAGTGTTTCCTTCTTGGCCTTGATGTGTGACAATACACACAAAGTATTGCCAATCAGGGACTCTCACTTGAGGTTTATTCCAGAGTTTTTATTTGAGTGTCATTATGTAGGCACAATAGATTGATTAATTGCTCTCATGGTTGAACTCAGTCTGCAGGTCGACTGATACTGAATGGCCCAAAGCCCCCAGCTCAAATCACATGATTGGTCTTTGTGGCATAGCTAGCCCCCACTCTAAGACTATTGAGTAAGGCTGACCACATCCTAAAATCTAGTGTGGCCAGCCTCCACCTAAACAAAGCTGAGCTGATCCTATCCGATATGACATAAATTACATCCCAGAGGCCAAGGTTAAAGCCAGACATATGTTTGGGCAAAGCCAAATTCTTTACCACACACTTGCCCATAAGAAAAGATACTATTATACCTTAGGGAGACAGAAAATAACTTGTAGTGCTTCCTAAGTGCCTGAGAGAAGGCAAGGAGAAAGGATTGTTGAGGATAAGCTTGCTTTAGCCCCGTTTCGTGACTTGACATCAGTAACAGACGCCTGTGCCCTATGGCTGGCACGCAACAGGAACACATCTTGGGATCCTTTGCCTTACGGTGTTCATTTTATATACTGACCCCACTTCGTCCCCTTTCCCCAACTAGATACTACTGGCCTCATTTTTCCCATTTATGGTCCAAATGGACTCTTTTTGGATCTGGAATCTGCTATCCTTCCAAGCTCTTTGTCCCACTCACATTTATGAGTGTGCTTTCTAGTTCATTTATAGACAAACTTTGGACATCCTCACGGTATTGCATTAAAATTTGTTCATATGTCAACTTTGAGGATATTTGTTCAACCAGTTCTTATTCCATCTTCTTTGTAATAATAACACAACAGGAGAGAGAATAGGAATAGTGTCTGTATTCCTAGGGACTGTTTCAGGTCTGCCCCAGCCTCTTACCAAAGATTCATAGCCACGGGTATATGACCCTGAAATTTTTCATAATTTTGTTCTTTATGAAAAGACCCTGGGACTATACTCATGTTCCCTTCAGATTTTAGTGGCAGCCAAAGGCATAAACAAGATTCCTGTATCTTATAACTCAACCCTGGTCTCATTTATTGTTTGCATTAGTGGAATCATAAAAATAGCTTTAAACAGTTGTTAAACCCACTCAGCTCTCTAAAAATTTCCTTAATTTGCACTATTTAAAAACCCTTTAGCTATTCATCAGAGATCAAAGTTGAAAGATAACCAGTGTGTTTGATTTTGCCTAATTTGCTATCATAGTAATAAAGAATGTTGACAAAAGGAAATTCCCAATATATCCAAAACAAATCCCCTTAGAATTTTTTCAATTCATTGCATATTCATGGAATAACTTTGACCTAGAAAAGAATAACCTCTATTTATCACAAGACTACATTAATACATCTATTAGGCCAGGGAGTATTTAGCTTGAGGTATCTTGCCTAGATGTTTATGTCTGAGGGTATTCAGAAGGCTTCCTCCCCATAGAAGCTTGCAGGGCAATCATAGCATGTGAATTAAAACAGCTTGACTATATTGTTATATACCCATTACACTAACAAAAATTAATGATCATGAGAAAATCCAATGTTGATAGGACTTGAGGCAGTATATTCACTGCTGGTGGCACTGTTAGAGGATTTACTATTGTTTCTACAAAGCAACTAAATATTATCCAAAAACAGTTAAAAATTGCCCATGTCCTTTGACCCAGAATTTATCTGAAAGGAGAAAGAAATTCAATTTTAAGTTACTTACTGAACTGCACATTTTTTTATATTGAAAAATTCAAAATATCCCAAATCTCACTTACAGAGAATAAACTAGAACACACAAACATCACGGGATTCTGAACATTGGGAAGGTATTTGAGGGCAGCCTGCATTGCTTCCCAAATCTGACTGTGTATCATAATCATCAAGGGAGATTTTTAGTTCTTCGTCTGATACACCTTCTCCATAGATGGTGTATTTATCTAGAATTCATGGCATAGAGATGACAAATGGGATGGGGAATATAAACGGGGCCATTGGCAATATTTGTTCTTATGGGTTTTGTGGGAAACTGCACATAAATGATAATTGTTTGATCTATAAAGCTGCTTGAGTCCACAATTATTCTTACATGAATGCATGTCCCTGCTATACTACATCAGAATGAAAAGAATCCTTTCATTAAGCTTCATGGCATGGTGATGAGAGGGCAGCGGGCTCCTCTGTAGAGTCAAAGAGTGGGAGATCCTGGCTGTCTGCTCTAACAGCCTGTTTCCCCTGCCCCAAACTAGTTGAATTAATAGAAATTAGCCCAGAAAGCATGAATATGGTGACTTTTTGTTTTTATCTTCAAAGGGATTAAGTAATTAAGAGGTATTAAGGAGCTCATATTTAAGTGATTTCCAGAACTGAGACCACAGAGCTAGACCATTTTATTTCAGATTCTCTGTGAGTAGCCATAACTATATGATAGATGAAGCTACATGCCCTTCCCTCTTCTCAATATCTACTGCTGATAGTGGTGGTATTGATGATACGGTTCACCTCGTACTATCTGGCAGTCAGTTTGGTCTTTGCTCAGTGGACTTCCTTGTTAGAAGAAAAAGTCTGATTAGTTCTTTGCTCTCTGACTCTTATTTCATGTACCCATGTACCTGTGCAAGACAGAGAACCAGAAAGTGTCCAGGTCAGAGATGAACATCTCTAGGACAGTCCCTAGGCACTGGGTGGATACTGAATTAAGACAACTCTTTATGGTACGGTCCTTCAATCAGGTTTCTATAATTGCATTTGGGTCACCTGCCACTGGAGGGCACTATTAGAATTGCTGTGAGAAAAGGCAGTTCTGGAATAAAACACTAACCATCAATGGCCACTGGGCAAAGGTTAGAGTGGCGAAAGGGCATGGGGTGGGGCTGGGGGGTGAGTTGCGGTGGCAAAACTGGAGGCTAGGGAGCTTGGCCTTGAAAACTTGGAGCACATTTCTTTCCCATGCTTAATGAAGGTTGCAGGTCCTCCACAATCCACTGAACCCAGGTGGAGGTGAAGTTGAGCTATGTTGGCTTCAGAGATGCTGTTATGTGTGCATCACAGCATCAGTTCACAGTGGAGTTCTTGAAATCCTCACTGTTTGAGAATAGTAGCTCCAACTTATCTCTCAGGTGATGCTGGAGGCTGGGTGGTTTTGAACAGAATTCTGAACTAGGCAGGGGTCTCAGGAGCTGGATCTCATCATGGCAACAGCTTGGGAGGTCCAATGACAAGGGCAACTGCCAAGAGAGCCAGCTAGGGCGGCCCTTCTTACAGCACAAAAATCGTTCCCGTGGGTGGGTAGAGTACAAGAACTTGAATCAAAGTGAGGGGTCTGCCACAATGGTCAGGGAATAGGAAGAGGTAGGAGATTTTTCAGGAGGCTGAAGAGAATACTTGAAGCGAGGACTTGAAGAAGAGAGCTGTTTTACTGCAGTGACTTCTAATTAAAATAAACTTACATTCTTTGTGAGAAGTCAAATGCAAGAGTTTTTTTTTTTTTTAGCTAAAAAGAAAGAAAACTACATGTATATTTTCAAGCTTTAAGCATTTTCTGTTTCGCTAAGGGTAGAGACTTGAATTTAGAGACTTGAATTTTGCTAAGGGTAGAGACTTTGGTGCAAATTATGCCTTTGTTTTGGAGGAACCAAAGTAATTTTTTTACACAAAAGTAAAATGAAGACATACCCCAGACTTGAAGATTTTGTGAGGCACTGTGATTTGAAGGGAGTGAACTATTATGTGGTAATATTAAAGATGTTTTATATAATTGACAGGGCTGCATAGCTGTGACTGTATCCTTAAGAGAATTATGACTATTTTAAATATGGACCTAGAATGAACTGTGCCTGAAACTTACTGATTCATCATATGGACAGAGTCCTGCAGGAAGGATGTGTAGCAAGCCTGATCTTTATCTTGAATTATAGAAAAGAGTGAGGCTTAGTTTGGCGTGTTAATATTCCAAATACTGTGAGAGTTCAGCCTTTATTGATGTTGGATTGTTGGGTTCTGGGGTAGCTCAGGATCATCATGTGGACGAGATGACCTTGGGGGTTAACTTTTCCTGTGAAGGTAATTCATTTGTGTTATAAATCATTTTCGGAAAAGACTGATCCCGAGACAGGAAACGAGAAGTGGGGGTAAGAATGGGATAGAATGAAGGTAACCTGGCCACTCTGTATCATGGAGACCGTGTAGGAGTGTCTGGGCCAGTGTGGGACTGTCTAAACCCAAGGATGGGTCTTGTCCTGTGAGCTCTAAGAAGAGATGGATCTAGTAGTGGTTATAAGTTTCTCTCTAGATTGTACTTCTCTTTCGTTTCCCTCAAACTTTCAGTAAAGACCTATTAAAATTGAAGCCTGTTTCAGTAGTACTGTTCATGCTTGGGGCAAAGCAGTGCAGGGAAGAGTAGTAGACCCTGAAGGGAGATGGTAATCCCAGCCCAGAGGCAATGATCTTCAGAGGACAAGGGATCGCAGGCAGCAGGTGACAATAGGACATATCTGAGGAACATTTAATTGTCTTTCAAGAATTCTTGGTCATATTTGGGCAAGCTGTGAAGAGGTGACTTCCTTCAGTGAAGCAGGATAGGGGCTTTAAGGCATTGCAACTGAAATAATTAAACTCGTCCATGACCTCACACTGGAGTTACAAAATTCAAATCCTAATTAAAGCATAGAACTTAATTATTCCAGCTGCTAAAAAGAAAGGATAAGTATGTAACATGATAGAGGTACTAATTATTGCTACATGGCAATCATATCATAATACATAAATGTATCAAATTAAGATGTACACCTTAAATTTACACAATGTTATAGTCAAATATAGTCAATTAAAAAAAAATAGCCTACAAAGCCCTCTTGATCTTCATCTCAGGTTACTCCTTTTTCTTATGTTTCAACCACCCTAGCTTCTTTCTGTTTCTTTCTTTTTTTTTTTTTTTTTTTCCTTCCCTTCTTTCTTTCTTTCTTTTCTTTCTTTTCCTTCTCTTTTTTTTTTGTGAGGAAGATCAGCCCTGAGCTAACATCCATGCTAATCCTCCTCTTTTTGCTGAGGAAGACCGGCCCTGAGCTAACATCTATTGCCAATCCTCCTCCTTTTTTTCCCCAAAGTCCCAGTAGATAGTTGTATGTTGTAGTTTCACATCCTTCTAGTTGCTGTATGTGGGACGCAGCCTGAGCATGGCCCGAGAAGCGGTGCGTCGGTGCGCGCCTGGGATCTGAACCCGGGCCACCAGTAGCGGAGCGCGAGCAGTTAACCGCTAAGCCATGGGGCCGGCCCTCTTGCTGTTTCTTGATCAAGCCAATCTCTCTCTAGCTTCCGGGGCTTGGCCATGCCGTGGTCTCCGCATAGGAGGCTCTTTCACTAACTCTGTTTTCTTCTTCTCACGCTTCAGATCTCAGCTTAATTGGTAACTTCTTAAAGTGGTCCTCTCTGACAACAATATTTAGGTGTATTCCCTCTTCTCCTTCTCTGCTTTTCTCT